GCCTGACGCGGGGCTCCATCCGAGGAGCCACCCAGGCGCCCCGAGGATTAAGTATCTGTCACACAGAGCTGTCTAGAGACCAAAGGGACCACGGTGGGTGAGCATGAATGTCCCAACTTCCCACGTGTGGAAGCCAGAACTGGGCATCCATAGCGGAGTGAGGGAGGGAATGGGGAGGGTCAGTAATTGGGAAACAGATACTTCACAGTGGGTGACTGCCTTCGGCTCGGGTCATGATCCTGGAGTCCCTGGATCGAGTCCCGCATCGGGCTCCCTGCTCAGCAGGGAGTCTGCTTCTCCCCCTGACCCTCCCCCCTCTCGTGTGCTCTCTCTCTCTCTCAAATAAATAAATAAAATCTTTAAAAAAATAAAATAAAATAGGGGCGCCTGACAGATACTTCACAGTGGGTGACTGCCTTCGGCTCGGGTCATGATCCTGGAGTCCCTGGATCGAGTCCCGCATCGGGCTCCCTGCTCAGCAGGGAGTCTGCTTCTCCCCCTGACCCTCCCCCCTCTCGTTGTGCTTTCTCTCTCATTCTCTCTCTCAAATAAATAAATAAAATCTTAAAAAAAAAGATTTTATTTATTCGAGAGAGAGAGAGAGAGCAGGAGCAGGGGGTGGGGCAGAGGGAGAGGGACAAGCAGACTCCCCGCTGAGCAGGGAACCTGATGTGGGACTGGATCCCAGGACCTGGAGATCATGACCTGAGCCAAAGGCAGCCACTTAACTGACAGAGCCACCCAGATGCCCCAGCTGGTCCCCTTTAAATGCCCCTTTAAATGCCAAATGTCAGAGCTGCTACCCTGAGACTCCTTTGTCCCCCATCTGGTTTACATTAGACACCTCTGCCTTTAGCTGTTGAATCTTCCCTCCCCCTCCTTGCATGCAGCAGTTTGTGACAGCACATCTCTCTGCATGCTGGTTTGTTTGATGTCAGCCTCTGTTGCTAGACTGTAAGCTCCAGGACGGCAGGCTTCCTCATTCCTGTAGCTCCAGCTCCTAAAACCATGCTGGTACACAGTAGATGCTCAATGAATTTTAGTTGAATAAATGAATGAGGTTGTATTCCCATGTGACCCAAGCCCGCTGGAGGGGAAGGATGGGGGGGGCACCTCCCCTTCCACCTCCCTTCATTCAGGCAACCAATATTGGCTGCTCCTCACTGGGTTCCAGACACTGTGGCTGGGGTGGGGGTGCGTGTGGGGGAGACAGAGCAATGAACAGGACACTTGGTCCTGCCCTCACACAGCTTTGGGTTTCAGGGAGGAGTCAGGTCAGTCCTCATAAAGAGCGTGTGAAAGGGCGAAGCCTGAGTTTTCTTCTTGCCTTCAGTTTCAGGAGGATGGATTCCTGGTGCTGGAAGGATTTTTATCTGCAGATGAATGTGCCGCCATGCAACAGAGGATTGGCGAGCTAGTGGCTGACATGGATGTCCCTGTCCGCTGCCGCATAGAATTTTCCACCCAGGCAGATGAGCAGCTGAGAACCAAAGTAAGTGCCTGGGGCAGGTGAGAACGGGATCTGGCCTTTGACGGGTAGGGCTCAGGCCCCAGCCAGAGCAGCAGCCCGGAAGGGAGGGCCCCGAGGCCCGTGGGCTCGTTCTGATAACAAATCGGGCCCTGAGCCCTCCCTGTGCCAGGCCAAGTGCCTTATCTGCGTATTTCCTTCTCTCCTCACTATGGATTTTTTTTTTTTAAGTTTTTATTTATTTATTTGAGAGAGAGAGAATGAGAGATAGAGAGCACGAGAGGGAAGAGGGTCAGAGGGAGAAGCAGACTCCCCGCCGAGCACGGAGCCCGATGCGGGACTCGATCCCGGGACTCCAGGATCATGACCTGAGCCGAAGGCAGTCGCCTAACCAACTGAGCCACCCAGGCGCCCTGGATTTTTTTTTTTTTTAAAGATTTTATTTATTTATTTGACAGAGACAGTGAGAGCAGGAACACAAACAGGGGGAGTGGGAGAGGGAGAAGCAGGCTTCCCGCGGAGCAGGGAGCCCGATGTGGGACTCGATCCCAGGACCCTGGGATCATGACCCGAGCTGAAGGCAGATGCTTAACGACTGAGCCACCCAGGCACCCTGGATTTTTTTTTTTTAAGATTTTATTTATTTATTTGACAGAAAGAGAGGGAGATAGAGCAGGAACATAAGCAGGGGGAGTGGGAGAGGGAGAAGCAGAATCCCCGCTGAGCAGGGAGCCCGATGTGGGGCTTGATCCCAGGACCTGGGATCATGACTTGAGCCGAAGGCAGACGCTTAATGACCCAGGTGCCACCCAGGTGCCCCCCACTATGGATTTATAAGGTTGATGTTATTACCCCCATTTGACAGCTGGGGAAAATGAGGCCTGGCTCACTTGCCCCACACCCTGTGGTTAGTAATTGGTAGAATGAGGATTTGAACCCAGATCGGCTGTTCACACAGGCTCTGCTGTACTTCCGTAGTGGTTCTCCTGCCACAAGGGCCTCTTTTGTGGCCAGCAACCCAGAATGAGCCAAGTGATTCTGATGGACCCCGCCCTGTGTCAACCTTATCCCCCAGTGAGACTAGAAACACAGCTTCTCCACCCCCACCCCTCATGACGTAATAGGACTCAATACAGTTTGACATGAGGTAAGTTGAGACTCGGGGTTCTCCCACACAGTTCACTTAACCCTTCAGGAGCCTGTCTGTGGGGGCACCTGGGTGGCTCAGTCGAGGAAGCGTCTGCCTTCAGCTCAGGTCATGATCCCAGGCATCGGGCTCTCTGCTCAGCGGGGGAGTCTGCTTCTTCCTCTCCCTCTGTGATCTCTCTCGCTTTTGCTCCCTCTTAAATAATAAATACAATCTAAAAAAAAAAAAAAAGAAAGAAAGAAAGAAAAGAAAAGAAAAAAAGAAAGCAAAGGAAAGGAAAGAAAAAGAAAAGAAAAAAAAAAAAGGAGACTGTTTGTGGCGTGGCCCCTGAGCCAAAGCTGTGGTCCCTGCCTGTTAATATGGCTCCTTCATGCTGAGGAGCTCCTGCCATCTGGTGGGCATAAAGGGAATTACAATGGCCTTAAGACTGGGAACCCGGAGAGCGCTGCTGAGGCACTTCAGTAGGACTAAGGGTTACAGAATAATTTCCTCCAAATAGTGGGTTTCATTTGCCCTCACTCCCGCCTTCTAGGTGGGGACAGCAGAGAAGGGGTTCCAGTGCCTAGATACAGGTCACTCAAGGCCCCAAAGAGTGAGGGGGCCAATCCTGTGCCCTCCAAGTTGCCTTCTGAGAATGTTCCAGAGACCAGTGAAGGGTTGGGTGGAGGATGGGAGAGCAGGAACACAAGCAGGGGGAGTGGGAGAGGGAGAAGCAGAATCCCCGCTGAGCAGGGAGCCCGATGTGGGGCTTGATCCCAGGACCTGGGATCATGACTTGAGCCGAAGGCAGACGCTTAATGACCCAGGTGCCACCCAGGTGCCCCCCACTATGGATTTATAAGGTTGATGTTATTACCCCCATTTGACAGCTGGGGAAAATGAGGCCTGGCTCACTTGCCCCACACCCTGTGGTTAGTAATTGGTAGAATGAGGATTTGAACCCAGATCGGCTGTTCACACAGGCTCTGCTGTACTTCCGTAGTGGTTCTCCTGCCACAAGGGCCTCTTTTGTGGCCAGCAACCCAGAATGAGCCAAGTGATTCTGATGGACCCCGCCCTGTGTCAACCTTATCCCCCAGTGAGACTAGAAACACAGCTTCTCCACCCCCACCCCTCATGACGTAATAGGACTCAATACAGTTTGACATGAGGTAAGTTGAGACTCGGGGTTCTCCCACACAGTTCACTTAACCCTTCAGGAGCCTGTCTGTGGGGGCACCTGGGTGGCTCAGTCGAGGAAGCGTCTGCCTTCAGCTCAGGTCATGATCCCAGGCATCGGGCTCTCTGCTCAGCGGGGGAGTCTGCTTCTTCCTCTCCCTCTGTGATCTCTCTCGCTTTTGCTCCCTCTTAAATAATAAATACAATCTAAAAAAAAAAAAGAAAGAAAGAAAGAAAAGAAAAGAAAAAAAGAAAGCAAAGGAAAGGAAAGAAAAAGAAAAGAAAAAAAAAAAGGAGACTGTTTGTGGCGTGGCCCCTGAGCCAAAGCTGTGGTCCCTGCCTGTTAATATGGCTCCTTCATGCTGAGGAGCTCCTGCCATCTGGTGGGCATAAAGGGAATTACAATGGCCTTAAGACTGGGAACCCGGAGAGCGCTGCTGAGGCACTTCAGTAGGACTAAGGGTTACAGAATAATTTCCTCCAAATAGTGGGTTTCATTTGCCCTCACTCCCGCCTTCTAGGTGGGGACAGCAGAGAAGGGGTTCCAGTGCCTAGATACAGGTCACTCAAGGCCCCAAAGAGTGAGGGGGCCAATCTTGTGCCCTCCAAGTTGCCTTCTGAGAATGTTCCAGAGACCAGTGAAGGGTTGGGTGGAGGATGGGAGAATAAAGTGTCTGTATCTTGGTTTATAATGCTTGCAAAGAGCTCAGCACAGTGCCTGGTACTCGGTAAACCCTCAATATTCACCACTGATATTAAGACTTTGAAATGGGCATTAAAAGGAAAAAGATCAGGGGCACCTGGGTGGCTCAGTTAAGCCTAACCCTCGAGGTCCTGATCTCAGGGTCCTGGGATTGGGCCCGGTGTCAGGCTCCCTGCTCAGGAGGGAGTCTGCTTCTCCCTCTCTCTCTGCTCCTCCCCCCACCCATGTGCGCACATGCACGAGTATGTGCTCTCTTTCAAAAAATTAAATACAATCTTAAAAAAAAAAAAAGGAAAAGGATCACTGGGTGTCCCATCCACTTCCAGCTTACTTTGAGTTATTTTCCGACTCCGTAAGTTGTATAGAACTGATAATAACAGGGGAGCCTGGCTGGCTCAGTCAGTAGAGCGTGTGACACTCGATGTTGGGGTCGTGAGTTCGAGCCCCATGTTGGGTGTACAGATCGCTTAAAAATAAAAAAAAATTAAAAAAAAACTGATAATAATGTCCACAGAAGTGGGTATGAAGTGGGTCCCGCAGAATACAATTATCCTCTGTAGATCGATCCATGTCCCATCCATCTGCAAATTCATTTCAGCATTCTTGGAATTCTTTGAACATTTTACGGGTTCCCTGGTGAATTAAGGAGTCAAGTAGAATCTTTGACATGTTTAGCTTCATTATCTTTAATTATTATTATTATTTTCTAAGTAGGCTCCATGCCCAGCACGGAGCCCAACGTGGGGCCTGAACTCAAACCCTGAGATCAAGACCTGAGTTAAGATCAAAAGTCGGACGCTTAACAACTGAGCCATCCCTAGCTTCATTATCTTTAATATTATTATTATCAGTTATGCTTCCCTGACTTGTTTCCCTCACCCTGATCCTGATACAGAACACCTATGAACATTGGAAAACAAAGGTATAGTTTTCAGTGGGAAGCGCGGTGAAAGGGCCCAGCAGGTCACCACAGAGCCCGTGGCACACGTGAGAGCAGGTGTGCATGCGTGAGGGAGGCGGGGGGCTGTGCCACCTGGAGAGCTTGGGGGGTCGGCACCCTCAGCTCCACTCGTGTGACCACACAGGAAGGTAGGGAGATCTACATGATGGTAGCCAAGGGCAGCTAAAACCACAGGGAAAACACTGGGCATCTTCCTGAAGTGTTATTTTCACATGACGCTAAGAAATGTAAACCATGGGGGCGCCTGGGTGGTGCTGTCAGTTAAGCCTTCGACTCTTGGTTTCGGCTCAGGTTGTGATCTCAGGGTTGTGAGGTCGAGCCCCATGTTGGGCTCTGCGCCCAGCAGGCTGTCTGCTTGAGATCCTCTCTCCCTCTCCCTCTGCCTTTTCTCCCCCAGCGCACGCCTCTCTCTCTCTAAAATAAATAAATCTTTTAAAAAAAGAAATGTAAAACATGGTATTAAAATTAACAAGGAAAGGTTATTGAGAAAACAGAAAAAGATGAGTAATAGGTTATATTCATCAAGCATTTAGCCATGCCCTGGCTGTTTTTTGTTTAGCAACAGCAGGAATGATGATGGTAAAAGCAGATATTCATGTGGCACTTTCCACATTCCAAGGACTGTTCTGGTGCTTTCTGTATATACCAATTCAAAATCTCTACAATGCCCTATGAGATACCTTTAATCACATCTCTACTTTATGAGGCAACTAAGTCCAGAGAGGTTCAGTACTGTGGTTGTGGTCACACAGCAACCCCCTGGCAGAGCTGGGATTTGAACCTGAGTATTCTAGCTCTATGGGCTGTGTTCTCAATTACCGTAAGATTCAGCCTCTACCCGAAGCCTCCACCAATCCAGAGGCGGTCCATTCTATTACTATTTCCCTTTACAGATAAGGAAACAGGCGTTGAGCAGTAAAACAAGTGACCAAGGCTACCTGGGAACCATACCTGTTTGATTACGGTGCCTAGGTTCAGAATCACACTGTACCGAGCATAAGAATTATGTGACTTATTAAGAGGTATCCAAGAAATTTTATGCTTGTGGCTTCCTATTGCACTTCCAGGCACTTGGGGTTCCTGTTCACTGAGGTCTGTGCCTCAGTGGATGAGTTTGAGAAGGGCCAGGGGGTTCTGTAGCCCTGCGGGGTTGGGAAGCATAAGCATCCCCTTCCCCCTTGGCCGGGCCCAGCTCTGACCCTGTGATGCTCTCTCAGTCACTCTGACATCCCCTCTCCACAGGGCCAGGGCAACAAAGACTATTTCTTGAGCAGTGGCGACAAGATTCGGTTCTTCTTCGAGAAAGGCGTTTTCGACAACAAAGGTTCGGAGCTGGGGCCCCCAGGGTGTGGGAAGGGCTGGACTGGAGTGTCTCCCCCGACAGCTGGGGGCCCCCAAGGCCAGTTGCCCAGGGGAGGGTGGGCTCCAGCTCATTTGCCTTTACCTGTTCCTTGTGCCACAGGAAATTTCCTGGTCCCTCCAGAGAAGTCCGTCAATAAAATTGGCCACGGTAAGCAGGCGCCTGGGGGAAAGGAAACAGGGAAACTGAGGCCTGAAGAGCCTTGGTGCCTAACCCAAGGACCACCGTACGTTAGTGGCCCAGCAAAAGGCATTACTGGCTTCAGTTCCCCTTCTGGGCCTGCTCCTCTGGCCTTATGATGCTAATCCTAGACACTGCCACCACAGGCATGGGAGGGTGCCTCCTGGTTCCCACTGCTTCCTGGAGCCTCCTTCAGGAGCACTTAACATGTTAGCATTGCCCCTATTCTGAGACCCCAACATGAAGCTAGGGTGCCCTCTTTCTTTCCCCAGGATCATACGTTATAATTTATTTTGCAGACCACTTATTTTTTTTTTTTTAAGATTTTATTTATTTAGAGAGAGAAAGAGAGAGTGTGTGAGCAGGGGGAGAGGGAGAGGGAGAAAGAGAATCTCAAGCGGAATCCCCACTGAGCATAGAGTCCGATGCAGGGGCTTGATCCCATGACCCTGAGATCATGACCTGAGTCAAAATCAAGAGTCGGACGGACGCTCAGCTGACTGAGCCACCCAGGCGCCCCTACTCATTTTTAAACTTGAAGTTATATCATGGTAGCTTTGTGAAAAGAATTGTGGTTAAAATACAGATAATATAAAATTTGCCGTCATAACCATTTTGAAATACACAATTCAGTGGCAATAAGTATATCCAATACTCACTTTTTTAAAAAAAGATTTTATTTATTTATTTGAGAGAGCACGAGCAGGGGGCGGGGAGGGGCAGAGAGAGAGGAAGAACCAGACTCCCCATTGAGCAGGGAGCCCAAAGTGGGGCTCCATCCCAGGGCCCCAGGATCATGACGTGAACCCAAGGCAGACGCTTAACCGACTGAACCACCCAGGTACCCCCCATCCCTCACTTTTTGTAATGACAACAATAATAATAATGAGATGATCAGGTATTCGGTGCCAGGCCCTGGCCTGAGGCTGCACATGTGTTAGCCCTTCGAGTCTTGGGGCAGCCTGAGAGGCAGGGCTGATCTCTGGTTCTGCGGTACAGAGGAGAAACAGGCTTATAGGAGAGAAATGGTCACCTGAATCAGCACAGAGCAAGTAGCAGGACCGAGATTACTACCAAGTTAGGGGCCCCTTTGAGTCAGGCCTGGAGTGAGGTTTCCAGATGGCGGCAAGGTCGAGAATAAGGTTGTGGGCCCATCTCTTGGTTATAAACCAGCAGAAAGCTCAATGCATACAAATAGGTGAGAAGCCATAGCAAGGCCTGTGTCTGGGCACCCAGGGCCAGGCACGGAGGGACGCGTGAGGGCGGGGGGCTGGCTGGTCAGCCTGCCTCTGTCCTGCAGCTCTGCATGCCTATGACCCTGTCTTCAGGAGTGTCACATACTCCCCCAAGGTGCAGGTGAGCAGGGGTGTGGGTGAGGGTGGGGGGGGGCCCAGATGTGAGTGAGGGCAGGCTAGAAGTTTGACCTCTGTCCCCTTTCAGGCTTTGGCCAAAAGTCTGGGCTTCCAGATGCCCGTGGTCGTGCAGAGCATGTACATCTTTAAGGTGAGCTCCCCTGTCCTCCCCAGGCCTCAGTTTACCCTCTGTAATATGGGCAGAGTCCTCATACCAAGCCCCTCCTTATGATGGACCAAAAGCTGCTTCCCTGAGGAATTACTAAGTTGCACGGAGAACAGGCAAAATCCGTCTCCTCTGGGTAAGGCGCCTGGCATTTAATTGGTGCTCAGTTAAAATTTGGTGGCGGGAGGGAAGGAGACCCCCAGGACTCCCTTCTTCCTTCTTTTGCCATTGAAATGCTCTGCTCCCAGCTTCAAGGCCCAGCTCAGTGCCACCTCCTCCAAGAAGCCTTCCAGTTTTCCCCTGGGAAGAGAGGGACCCATGTCTGATCATGGGGCTGAGAGGCTTAGCCTCAGGCCTGGGCCCAAGTCACTCTTGCCGCCCCTCACTTCTGCCTTTGCTCTTGGTAGGCATGCGTGTTGTGCTCAGACTCGGAGCACCCTGTGGGCAGGGCGCTTTTTCTCTTTGCAGCCCTCCTGGGCCTGGCACATGGTGGGTACTCCATAGCTGGGTGCCGATGTGGAATCCTCAGAGGATAACCTGTGGCCGGGTTAGAGTACCCCACAAGACTCAGTGCAGCCCCTGCTCCAACCCACTTTCCCCTGGCCTCACCTGGCCCTTCTTCTCTCTTGCAGCAACCTCACTTTGGTGGCGAAGGTGAGCTGAGAACAGGCTGTGGGGGCCAGGAAAGGCCACGGTAGGAGATCTGGGGCATTGGTGCTTGTTAGGTCTGTGGAGGGAGGGATGGCGCTTGCTGAGGTGTCCGTGGGCAAGAGGGAGAAGCTAACTTTTGTTCCCCTCTGGATGCACAGATACCCTTTACAGCCTCCCTCATGGGCAATTACCTACTTCTGCTTAAATACCTCCCGTGACAGGGGGCTCATCCCCTCACAGCCAGCCCTTTCCTTCCGTGCATGAGCCCAAGTCGGCCTCCTTGTGACCGCCCGCTCCTCCCCACCATTCAGCCCGAGGACAGTCTCCTGAAGGGTTGAGCAGCCCCTCCCCGAGTTCAGCACCCCCACCTCCTTCAGTCGGTCCTCCTCTAAATTCTTTGGAGCACCCACCATTAGGACACGTTCCTCTGGACACTGTCTGGATTGCTCAAGTCCCTCTTCGAGTTTGGGGCTTGGAAAACACACAGTTCCCCGGGAAGGAAGGAAGGGAGACAAGCATCCGCAGTCTGAAGTCCTTTGTTCAGTGGTCCTCTGTCCTGGCTGAGCCCCAGCACTGCGTGGAGGGGGTTAAGACGTGGATGGGGGCCAGTCGCACACCCTCTCCTTTTGTACTCAACTCCCCAGTCTTACGCCACTCAGTGGACCCTCTGGTGGCTGTTTGGTAAAGGATGGTGGCTTTAGTTGCCTGGCTAGAATCAAACCACATCAGCCACTTTTTAGCAAGTATAGCGTTGGGCCCGGTACTAAGCACTTTTCACACACTGTGTCGTGGGGTCCTCCAGCAACCCTATGAGGTAGGTGACTGCCGAGGCCACTTCATGGTTTAGGAAATGGAAGTTTTGAGAGGTGAAATCTCGTGCCCTGAGTCTCCAGGCAGGGAAGTCGTGGGTTTCCAGCTGACTCGGGAAGGCTCAGAGAGCACCAGGGAGTGGGGAACAAGGCCAAGGTGAGGTGGGCCAGGTTCCTCATGCCCGGGGTTGGGGTGGCCTGCTGCAGTCACCCCTCACCAGGACTCCACCTTCCTGCACACGGAGCCCCTGGGCCGGCTGCTGGGCATATGGATAGCAGTGGAAGATGCCACTCTGGAGAATGGCTGCCTCTGGTTCATCCCAGGCTCCCATACCGGTAAGGACACCTGTCTCGTCCTGCGCATGCATATCCCACCCCCCCTGGCAGAGAGGCCCGGATAAAAGAGAGGCTAAAGTCTCCACCTTGGCCTGCAGGTGGGGTGTCCAGAAGGCTGGTCAGGACCCCTGCTGGCTCGAAGCCTGACATCAGCTTCCTTGGGTCAGAGCCTGTCTGGGATGCCAGCCTCTTTGTGCCCACCCCAGTGCGGAGAGGTAGGTGGGATGCAGAGGGCAGGGAGGCAGGCTCTGAGGCTGTGCCTGTGGGTCTGTGCTTGCTCCAACCACCCAGCTCCCCTGAGGCCCGTGAAGTCACAGAATGGGAGGTCGGACTCGACGGGTATACTGGGAAGTCTGAAGGCCGCGCCATTAACCGGAAGGCCTCCCGGATCAGGCTAGAATCCAGACTCTGCTGTCTCTTTGGGCAAATGACTGAACCTCTCTGAGCCTCAGTCTTTCCAAACGTAAAGTGGGGAGGTCAGTGAGATAGATGATGCATACAAGATGGGGCACACAGCAGAGGCTGAACGAATGCTGGCCATTCCTTTTAGAACAGGGCAACCTGATGTCCAGCCTGGCTTTTTTTTTTTTTTTTTAAGATTTTATTTATTTGAGAGAGAGAGAGCATGAGCGGGGGAGGGAGGCAGGGACAGAGGGAGAGGGAGAAGGAACATGGGGCTCGATCCCAGGACCCTGGGATCATGACCTGAGCTGAAGATAGACGTTTAACCACTGAGCCATCCAGGTGCCACCCAGCCGAGCTTTTGATAGCAAGGTCCCAGCTACTTGGCACAGTACAGACACTTCGGCCTGGTTCTGCAAACACCACAGAAGGGGATGCCCTTGCCAAGGCTTGCCAAGGGCACAGGTCACAGCAGAGGGAACTTGGTCCCAGGGGAACCTCTGGCCAATAGCATAGCCTCTGACCCTGTAGGATGAATAGGCCACAGAACCACTCAAGGGAGGAGGGGCCTATGTCCCTCTCTGCCAAGTGTTCTCCTGATCCGGTGCATTCCTGCCAGGGGACCTCGTCCTAATCCATGGAGAAGTGGTACACAAGAGTGAGCAGAACCTCTCCGACCACTCACGCCATGCCTACACTTTCCATCTCATGGAGAGCTTGGGCACCGTCTGGAGCCCGGAGAACTGGTAGGTGGCAGGGTGTGTGTGTGTGTGTGTGTGTGTGTGCACGCACGCGTGTGCCCTGGACAAGCGCACCCTGGACAAGCTCCTGAAGAGGTCCTGGAGGCAGGGAGCAGTGACACTGGTGCCTCAAAGTCATCTTGCTCTCTCTCCGCAGGCTCCAGCCAACAGCTGAGCTGCCCTTTCCCCCACTGTACACCTGAGTGCCCTCTCTGGGCTGGGCCTGGCCCGTCCGGGTGAAGCCGTGGGCCTCACGCACCAGCATCTCACCCGGCTGCCCAGCTGCAAAGGGGAAGTCGAATCTCTCCTCCCTGCGCTTTCTCCCTGCCGGGGTCTGTGCTCCTCAGCCCTGCAGACAGGCAGGCGGGAGGTGGCAGGTGGGCAGCAGGAGCCCCGGATGGATGGTTTTCCCGAGACCTCTATCTCTCTGCCTCTCCCCTGACCCACCTCAGCCTCCCCCTGAAGGCAGCCTCTCACCATGAAAGCATTCTGGGTACTTCTCTGCTGGCTTCCCACTGTTCTCTCAGATGCAATTCGGATTATTATGATGCAAGACACGCAATAAAAGCGACTTCTGAATGCAGCTTCTCGACCCTTCTTTCCCAAACTGCTTTGCTTTCAAGATGAGAGCCCTGCTGAAAATCTTCCCAGGTGTCCCAGCCCTGCCAGGTGAGGTCTGCACGATTTTAATAACACCGCGGGTGTTTGCTGTGCCAAGAGTTTTAAGTGTTTTGTCTCACTGTGTCCTCACACCTCCCAGCAAGGTGCTCTTACCATCTGGGTTTACAGACAGGAGAAGCTGACACGTGGTGTGGGAAGTTTCAGTGACCTGCTCCAGTCACAGGGCTGTTCAGTTTAGTGACTCAGCCTGTACTTCTTCTTTTTTTTTTTTTTAAAGATTTTATTTATTTATTTAAGAGAGACAATGAGATAGAGAGAGAGTGCACATGAGAGGGGGGAGGGTCCGAGGGAGAAGTGGACTCACTGCCGAGCAGGGAGCCCGATGCGGGACTCGATCCCGGGACTCCAGGATCATGACCTGAGCCGAAGGCAGTCGCTTAACCAACTTTGCCACCCAGGCGCCCCTCAGCCTGTACTTCTAACCTTTGTGCTCCCCAGTACTCCTTGCTTGGGGAGGGGAGAAGACCAGGGCTGGGAATACAGTCCCAGATTCTGGTCCTGGCTTTGTGACCGACTTGTTTTCTGGTCACAGGCTGGGCCCAGTTTGCCACCTGTACCATCAAGGGGCCAGAGTAGGCCTGCATGGTCCCTCTCTGTGGGCGTGCTTGGCGGGCACCCAGACCTTCTGCAGGGGCAATGTGGTAGACATTCAAGATCTGCACAGCCAGGATTTGGCCCAAAGGTTGCAAACGGGCTATGGATGTGTTTTGTCTGGGCCTCAGGGTTAATTGAAAAAAAAAAAAAAAAAAAAAAAAAATTAAAACTGGGAGGTTTCACATAATAATGCACGTTTCTAAGCTTCCTTGAATGAGCAGGTCAGCAACTGTGGGCCTACGGCCGAGCGCAGTGATGCCTGGCTGGAACAGCCTCCTTGGAGGCACCTCCGCTCCTCACTTCCCACTTCCCCTGTCCTCCACCGGGTTACCTGCCTGGCCTCAGCAGCCTTAAGAATTTGTGACCTTAATTTTCAGTCCCCACTCCGTGGATAAGCCGAGGCCTGGAGGACAGAGCCTTCCCCAAAGGCCACCCAGGGAGTCAGTGAGGCAAAGCACTTCCTTGGCATTTTGCTGACTCTTTTAGCAAGTAGAAAGCTGCCGGAGGGAAGGGAAGGGTTTGTTAAGTCTTCTCTGAACCCAAAAGGAATGTCTTAATACTTTCCTCTGAGGGACAGGGCTTGGTAGAGATCCCTAGCCTGAAGAGCTTGCTAGAACTCTGCTCCTGGCTTCTGGCCTCGGTGGGCCAAAGTTCTCATGTCTTCCAGCTAGGCCTGTCCCTGCTGCGTTGGGTGAGAAGGGGAGCAGCCTCAGGCAACTCCCCACTGATGGGATAGGTTCCATGCACTCGGCAAATGTCCACTGGGTTCCCGCTACAATGCGGGGCTCTACTGGCACTGGAGGATACGGTGGGGAATGGGGCAGCCCTGGACTCTGCCCTGCAGAGAGCAAGGATACAGCATAGGCTCCACAGGAGAACCATTCTGAACTCTCGGTGAACCCCGCCAGCCCCTGGTCTCTAATTTCCTACCAAGAGAAGAAACACAGGTTTGGACATGACTGGAGTGTGAGAGGGTCTCAGGAGGGACCCCCTGCTAAGGACCCTGTGTCATCCAGCTTGACCTTCATCAGCACTGCTCAGCCAGGCAGCAGAGGCCTTGAGGCAGGAGTGGAGTTGGCTGAAACAGGAAATCGGCCCAGGCCTGATACTCTTCTTCGTCTAGCCCTTCCACGCATGCAACAGACGATTTCACCTTTCCCCTTCAGCCCAAAGGGGAGAAAGCACATGCGCTTGGCTCTTTTCCTCTTGGGTTCTCCTCCAAATGTAGCCAGGGGAGTAAGGTCATGCTGGTCTCCAAGCACAACCCATAAAACCTCTTGGCTTGCCTGCCTTTTTGCTGACACGAGGGCTGGCCTTGGCTAATAATGACACTTACCCTTACCCTTCATTATGCATGGGCTGTGGGCTGGACCCTTCACACACCTCACCTCCCTGGATCCTCACCTGTGAGGTGCAGGCTCTTACTATTCCCATCTTGCTGACAGGAGAACTGAGGCCCAGAGTGGTTAAGCAACTTGCACAGTTAAATAGTGCTGCCAAGGACTCTGACCAGGTTAGTTTGACTCCAGAACCTGAGGTGGTGACCATTACACTCTACTGCCTCCAGGGTCCAATCGGGACCCACCCCCGGAGATCACAAGATGAAGTGGGGTGGGGGGGGTTCTACACCACACTCAAGTTCTTTGTGTTGCTGTGTTCCGTTCTCTTTAAGCCTTTTTTTCTTTTTAAATATCAGCAAAACTAAAACCAGGAGTGCTTTGATTTTTATTTTGAATCTGAATCAACTGAAAAATCAAATCTGCTTCTCACCCCTTGGCTCTTCATGCTCAAGTGGCTGGCGGCTGTGGGGACCATTCATCCTCCCCATGTCCCTGTTTTCTCCAACACTGCTGCACAGCAGCTAGGCCATCAGCAATATCAGGAGGTAGAGAGGCAACAGGAGATTGTCTATCTGCGTAGTGTATGCTTCTAGGAGGGACACGATGCTGATAGAGCCCAAAATCCAAGCATAACTGTAGTTTAGGTCCACTCCACTGTCAAAGATTAAGATCAGAGCTACAGAAATGATCTGGGCAAATATAGAGGTCATGGTCCCCTCAAAAGTCTTTTTGGTTCCAGGCCAGTGGATTTCCCCCATGGTGCTGCCAAAGATGGAGGCCACAGTGTCACCCACACCCACAGCCAGGACCCCCGCATAGGGGACTAGGGCCCTTGCTCCCCCCAAGCTGCCCTTCTGTGTGCAGGGTCTGGGGACCAGCCAGATGGGAAGAGACATGCCCAGGAGCAGGTAGATGTGTGTAAGGATGAGTGGTCCACTGTCTCGTTCATCTAGGAAAAGGGACAGGAGGCTCCTCAGAGTGTGGCCGAGGGGCTTGATGCGGAAATAGCGCACATACTCCAGAAAGATGAAGACTGCCAGACATATGGTGGCAGCTACATAGAGCAGTGTCCGGTCAAAGATGATGCCCGGGATGTAGGTGGCCACAACAATGAAGTGGAAATACTTCCGGGCAATGGTGGGGGCCTGGTGCTTCTTGGACTCAGAAGATGACCGCTTGGCATTCTGGTACAGCACCACCAGGCAGGCTAAGGTGGCCAGCAGAGACCAGTAGACTAGGAGGTAGATGCGGGTCTCTGTCTGGAAGAGGAATTGAAGAAGCCAGAGCAGGGGGTTCTTGCGGATGAGCCGGTGCAGCCAGGGCAGGACCACACCAAGGCCCAGCACACAGGTCATGAGGTGGAAGAAGATGGAGGAAGCCCAGGTACCTGAGTCCATGAAGACAAAGAGGGTGCTGAAGAAGATGCCCATAAGCACCATCCCGACCACCACCACAAGCAGGAAGAAATCCACTGGGTCTCCCTGGCTTTCCACCACAGTCAGAGAGCGCTTGATGAGCTGGTTAAGCATGAAGCTGATGCCACCCAATACAAGCAGTGCCTCCCCAGGGGTAAAGCAGCGGGGCAGCAGGTACAGCAGGATCATGTTGAGGTAGACGAAGATCAGCAGGACCTCCAGGACCTCGATCACCTCGCCCACACTCAGTGAGTGCTTCATGATATAAATGATGACACCTCCAGCCAAGCCTGAGATGACACAAGTGTTGGTGGGCACTGGGCGACTGATGCCCAGCGCCAATACTGAAGAGAAGAGGGCCACTGCCATGCCAGTGGCTGCCACCACAATTCCAAAGCGCTCGAAGTATGGGTTCCCCACTGACTGGCAGCGCTCCTTCATGACCAGTCCGAGCAAAGGCATGACCACTGAGGCGGGCAGCAGGCCACTGTTTGCGGACATGCGGAACTGGAAGACGGCGCTTCCCTGCTGTAGCAGCCGGTCCCACTTGTACTGGACGTAGAAGGCCTGCACTGCGAGAGCCACGGCGCACCACGAGTATCGGTCCCACACGGCTGCGTGGATGCTTAGCACGACTGCGAACACTACTGCTGCCTCCGCCAGCACCGATCCGCTCAGCGGAGCCCCGTTCCCCGAGGCCGGGGGAGCGTGCTCTCGGGTCATGTCTCTAGACCTGGGGCCCCGGGGAAACCGGGGTGACTAGCGACGCCTCGGCCTCCGGGTCCCTCAAGCCCCGCCGAGACGACAGCGGCAGTTTCACACAGCCAGCACCTTCTCTTTCCGTTCTCCAGCTGCGAGGAGGGAAGCTCCACTGTAGGCAAAGCCACTTTCTGAGGCTTGGGAACTGGCGCCCAGCGATCCTCCCACCGCCTCGCACCTAGGACGGAGACGTTGCCACTCGGCCCCTCGCTTCACAGCCCCGGCTGCTCTCGCCGCGGGTTCCTCACCTCTCCGGGCGTCTCCATCTTGGCCCCGCCCGCCGTCACGTGACGAAAAAGCACCACCCGCGGCCGGTCCGGAGGCGGACGGTCACGTGGGTGCGGCGTCTGGGGGCGGGGCTGGGGCGCGCGCGCGCGAAGATGGCGGCGGCCGCCGGCGGGCCGTGTGTGAGGT